ATTTTGTGTATATGCAGTCTCTCAAATGGCAGTTATATTGGCAATGATATATTCTCAAAGAGATTAATTAATATTGCTTGCAAATCTGTTTTACACATGAAGATGTGGTCGTTATGAATTCTCTGGATTTCCATGACTTTGTTGAAACCGATATGCGTGGATCCAAAGCATAGCGCTTTCATTTGCTGAGTGTTTTGATCTACAGGAGCTTGGGAGGCCTCAGAAGTTTCTCTGACCTTTCCAGCAGTCTTGTCTCCTGCTCCTCTTTCTCCCCAAAACAAATCATGAAAATTGGAATTCTCCCTCAAGGTGGCCCACAGAAATTTGAACCCCTCCATCATACAGCAAGTCACAGGCAGTAGCAATGGTCACTATCTCCATTCTTTCTTCTCCCTTTAAATCCGTTATTTAGAGGGTCCCACTCAGTTTCAGTGAGAAAGAAACACCACAAAAGAGGTCAAACAGAAGCTTAACACATAGGTCTTGCTGCATGCCTGTTCTCAGTATTTTATCATTTGACCACTCTCTTTTGTATAATCATATTTATACAGAGTTGTCTATGTTCATCATATCTACACAGAAAGACATTTTCCCCATGTCTTCGGGTCCTCATTTCTGAAGGCTCTTATGTCATGTAAAGTTCAAATAAACTTTAAAAATTGTTTTGAATAAACTCATTTGTTATTCTTTTTTAAAGATTTATTTTCTCTGGAAAGGCAAATTTACAGAGGAAGCAGAGACAGAAAGAAAAGATCTTCCAATTGGGTAGCTAGGACTCAAAGCAACCTCCAATATGGGATGCTCATTGTTGACAGTGGCTTAATTCACTGCACTACAACACTGCTCTCCTCTCCCCAATTTTTAGGTTGAAGAAAACTAAATAGGATTTAAATAACCTACTGAATGTCACGATTAGTTTGGTGATAGAATAAAAAAAAAAAGCATATGTGCTGAGTGCTTTTCTATGTACTTTACATATATTGATTTCTGTAGATAAGAAAAAACTCTGGAACAGATATTATCATCGTCCTCATGGTATACATAATGAAGTAGCAACACAGAGAGAGTAATCTGCCCAAGTTCATACAATCAGTGTTGGCAAAGCCAAGATCCAAATCCAGACAGCTTAATTTCAGATCTTGTATGCTGAAAAATTACACTACCCTAACCATTCATTTTGTTTGATATGTTTATTCAGGGAGGTGGGTGGGACATTAACTTTGTAATCTATACATAATAAACCAAATATAGATACCTCAGTCTAATAAACTATATAAGATGCATAAAAACCCAATCTCTATATAATAAACTTCACCAATTTTAAGTGTAAGATTTTAAAACTTTTATTTTTTATTTATATTTTTATTGGAAAGTCAGATATACAGAGAGGAGGAGAAAGATCTCAGTCTGCTGATTCACTCCCCAAGTGGCTGCAATGGCAAGAGCTGTGCCAATCCGAAGTCAGGAACCAGGAGCTTCTTCCTGGTCTCCCATTAAGGCGCAGGGTCCCATAGCTTTGGGCTGTCCTCAACTGCTTTCCCAGGCCACACTCAGGGAGCTGGATGGGAAGAAGAGCCGCCGGGACTAGAATTGGAGCCCGTATGGGATCCTGGTGTATGCAAGGTAAAAACTTTAGCTGTTAGGCTACCATGCCGGGCCAAGATTTAAAAACTTTTGAGAAGCATAACACAGTTGTGTAACCACCACCAAAATGAAGACAAAAATTTTCCATCACTTCCCATCATCAGCACAACCATGCAACAATTCTGCATTTAGCCATGAATTCAAGGGTAACTCTTCGCAGTCTAAGGGATGAACCAACAACAATAAATACTTCTCTGTTTTAGCTTTTTCCTCTTTAGTACCGTATCACTAAAATTCCAGCCCCTCTGAGCTCACATTTTTCTCTGCTCATTAGAGTTCATTTTTCACCCCTCCCTTATAATTCAAACTACTTGGAAACTTAATACAAGCTAGCTAAGAGCAATCGTAGAGCTTAACGTATTTGTGTCTATACTCTAATGGGTCACAGTCTTGTACTGCCCATTACCCAATGTATGAAAACACTTGTTTGATATACTTTGTCTAGTTTTCTAGTTGCTTAGAATGGGAGGATAATTTCCATAGTAATTAATCTTTCCATCTGGTAATTATAGTGGCAATGCCCACATGTTTTATTACAATCTATTTTTATTTCAATTCCTCATTGTGTCACCTTGAAAAAATTACTGAGCTTTAATAAGCCATTTATGGAATTACCCATGTGAATAGTAGGAAATGTCATTCTTATTATACTCGATAGAATTTTTGTTAATATATGAATGGCTCTGATTCAATTTAGACTCTAAAACTGGGCCCTCAGCAAGTTAATAAATATATTTAACTTGTAGTTTCATATTTTTGAAGTGGTTATAAATATAGCACCTACTTTATAGAATCATTGTGAAAATTAAATATACAGAGAGAATTTAACTTAGTGACTGTAATTTTTGATAATAAATGGTAGTTTCAATCTTTATTAATATAATTTTAATGGAATGGCTATGCCATAAAATGGCTTCATATTGATTCCAAATGTTACCAGTAGGGGGGACATTAGGTTTTATTTTATCGCATCATATATTTATTTTTTTTCTAGTGATATGCACATTAAGTATGAGCTAGTTCACTGTTTTATTTCCATGAGGATACCATTTCAACAAATACATTTTGAAAATTTACTGAGCACATGAAATAAGCAAATATGGATAACACATAGCCCATGCCATTGAATACCTTATAATTCAATAATGAAGTTTTCATTAAAATGTAGCTTTCCTTCACATCCCTGCATATAACTAATTACCTTGGAACAAGGCCTTAGAATGTCATTCTTTAAAATATTTCAAATGTTTATGCTAATTTTATTTTTATTGATGCTATCTTTCCTTTTAAAATCTACTGAGGTTTAGTTTGTAGCCTAATGTATCATTTATACAAAAAGTGTTCTATGTACACTTGAGAAGGAATGTGTATAATGCTACCAGTAGGTAGAATATTCTACAGACAACCATCAGAACTACTTGGTTTATTGTACTTTTTCAAAAGATTTCTTTATTTTTATTGGAAAGTCACATACACAGAGAGGAGAGACAGAGAGGAAGATCTTCCATCCAATGATTCACTCCCCAAGTGAGCGCAATGGCTGATGCTATGCCGATCCGAAGCCAGGAGCCTCTTCCGGGTCTCCCACGCGGGTGCAGGGTCCCAAAGCTTTGGGCCGTCCTCGACTGCTTTTCCAGGCTGCAAGCAGGGAGCTGGATGGGAAGCAGGGCTGCCGGGATAGAACCGGTGCCCATATGGGATCCCGGGAGCATGTGAGGCAAGGAATTTAGCCATTGGGTTATCACAGCCGCTAGGGTATCACAGCCACTAGGCTATTGCACCTGGCCCGGCATTCTGACTTTTAAGGTAGAAGATGTATGGTGGCCACGAGGACTCACAACACCATGCAACAAGACAGCCAAACCGCTAGGTGAAATTTCATAAGTATTAACCTCCTCAGGAAGCAGGTCAAACAGATTATGAAATCAAAGAAACAAAAATGTGCCATGAAACAGCTTCACCAGTAAGGCCCAGGACAGACACAATCCAAGGTATCATCTCCTTCCCAGAGCTTCAGTGGCTCAGAAATTTAAGCCTTTGGTGTCATCTTTTCCAAGATCCACGACAGTAACAGTCATTATTCTCAGAATTTGTCTAGGCTTTAGCAACCCATTCAGAAACGGGCCTCAAAAGCCATGACAACCAATCTGGCCTTGCTCTCCATAGCCAAATTACTGGGTCATACTTTACTATCTGAAACCATGGCTCACAGGCAAATCCTGTCTTTAGAAGCTGCCACACTCATCTAAACACACCCACCACTACAAGAGCCTCACACTAGGCCTGGTCCTCCCAACAGAGCCATTCGGGGAAGAGGAATCCTATATAACTCCCATCTCCATATGAGATTATTGATCAGAATTCTGCTTCTCTTGCTGGTTTCCTTAGGACAAACAAACCTTAGGAGGGTGTATCTATCAGAATTACTTACATTGTCCTGACTCTGAAATCTTACAACTTGTTCCCAAATCAGGTTATACCACCTGCATTAATACCTCCTCATCCTCATATCCTGGCATATTCTCCCTTTTTTACTCCAGAAAGGTGGTAAGAGCTTCCATTCATCCATTAAGTCATTTGAGAAATAAAGAAATAAGTACAAGGAAATTGTGTGTTTCTGTATTAGTTTGTCATAGATGAAGTAGATTATTTTCTGTATCTCACTTCATAAAAACCAGCTGTGCCCAGTACAGAATATTTTACTATTGTCACAGTATAAATGAAATTATCAGGGTATAATAAAGTGGCATATTCTGTCAATTTCACAAGAGTAATAAGGCATCGAGCTGCGATTTGAAATGAGGTCTTTAGATGTTAGGTTTGCTCCTTGTTTCTTAAAAGGTTTAGGGAAAATGCTCATTCTCACTATGTACCCTAAAACCATCTTTATTATCATTATTACTTCCACTCAAATTTCATATTCAGGAGAAGGTTATGAACAATTTTTTAAAATATATATTTATTTTAATTGGAAAGTCAGATACACATAGAGGAGAAAGATTAAGAAGCCTGGCCTAGAGGTCACTCATGTCTGGCAGTGGACTGCAACTTACACAGGGATGGAAAGGAACTCAGAGAAAACACAAGAAAGGAATCAGTTTATCTGACTGCTTTCCCACAGACATGGCAATGTCTCCACTGAAACTACTTTGGAGGAGACTGTTAAATAAGCCCTGTGGGCTTTCTTTAAAAGGGGCCACAGTGTCCTGCAAGCAAGTTCCTCCCAGCCATTTCTAGGCCAGGCCTCTGCAGGGCCCACTGGCCACCACTGACATCACAGACAGAGGTGTCACAAAGGCTGCCCTTGCCTAGCCAATCCAGGGCTACAGAAACACAGTGGGCGGCACTGAGCAGTGGTAGCTTGACAGGCACCTGGCCAGCAGGAAAATCAAGCTGAGCCACCTGGGAGTAGAAACCAGCCCACCATCATGCATGGGAGGAGGCCCACCAAGAAATCCCGTCGGCGACGCAGGAAGCCCATCTCCCGCTCCACCAAAGCTGAGCTGCAGTTCCCTGTGAGCCGCGTGGACCGCCACCTGCGAGAAGACCGCTATGCTCAGCGCCTGAGCTCCTCCACCCCTGTGTTCCTGGCCGGGGTCCTCGAGTACCTCACGTCCAACATCCTGGAGCTGGCTGGCGAAGAGGCTGACAAGAACGGCAAGATTCGCATCACCCCAGAACACCTGCAGAAGGCGATGGAAAACAACGAGCATCTCAAGGACCTCTTGGACAGTGGCAGCAACCCTCCTGCTGCTGAAGAGCCCAAGTCCCAGGAAAAGGAGGAGCAGGAGGAGGAAGAGGAGGAGCCATGACACCCAAGCCTCGAGCATGGCTCGCCTCACCTGACAACAGTCTTCCCCCCATCCCTACAACCCCACCCTGCCATCTCCCTTAGAAAAATAAAGTGTTAAGTCAATTGCAACAGTGCTGAGTCCTCTCTGTGTGTCATTTTGGGTGGCAGGCAGCTGTGAACCATGCAGAGGGTTGGAGGGGAGTGTTTGGATCAGGGATTTCAGAGAAAGTGTTTCCATGTTGACCATGGGCCTGGAACAGAGGCCCTGGGTGGGGGAGGATCTGACAAGGGTGGAGGGGAGGGAAGAGGAAACTTCCTCTTTGGTTCTGCCCAAGGAAGGCCATGGGAGGCCAGGAGCTTGACTGGGGTTGGAACCTGAACTGGGTGGTAGAGGTGATCCTTGAGCTGTGGATGCACTGCATGATTCCAAGCAGTGAGATGGGCTGACACCAGGATGGGTGCAGATGTCTTTATCCATCATTGGGAAGGTCTCAAGTCAGGAGGTGATGACAAGGGAAATGGGGTGGACATGGTGGCACACTAGCTGACATGCACTTAATAGGACAAGTTCTTTGCCGTGAAGATAAGGAATGGTGGAGAAATACAAGGCTCTATCCAAAAAAATGTTGTGGTCAGCTTGATGTATTTATTATTTGTTTTATGTCCTCCTGCCTCCTTTGTCAAGGAATTTGATCCAGGATTAGAACCTGGCCATGGAGAATCAAGATGGCAGAATAGGGTAAGGACACATTGACACAGATGGAGACTCATTAGCCAGAATGAAGCAGAGAGCATACATTCCAGGAAATAGGTGAGGACAGACCAACTCCAGAGGGGCATCCTGTGACTGATGGACACAGGAAAGCAGTGAACACAATGGTATGGTCATGCCGTGACAAGACACCCAAGTGGGTTTCAGAAAGTGATGATCTGAATTCCAGTGGCAGACGAATCTCCACCAGCAACAAGGTGGAGGGGAGTTCAACAGAAACTCAGTTGGTGAATTCAAAGAGCTGCCCATCCTATTGGTTTGTTTCACTCAGATAGGAGCAGAGCCAGAGCAGCACAGCCCAAACTGGTGGTGCAGAAACAGGGTGGATTTCAAAGCACAGACCCCCAGTTGAGCTGATTTGGTCACCATCTTTGTAGAGAGGCAAAGGCCATGGGACAGCACTGCACATGCAATAAGCTGGGAGAGAATTCATTTATGTTCAGTTAGTGGCAACGATATGGCATCATACAGGTTCCACCCAAAATACGCCTGGGTAGCCCCTAGATCTAATGGACAGCAGATCAGGAACTCCACAAGTGGCACATCAGGTACCATTTCTTACAGTGTGCCAAAGGCTCTGACTGTGGGGACAACAGTGAGATGTGTCTGCGCTGAGCTGGGAGCAAACTGAGCTCAGTGCATTACACTAGTCCCACATCAAAAAGAAAGACAAAAATGGTGAGGTTAAGAGATCAATGAGGGGCCCTTGGAGTTCCTGCTCAACATCTTGACAGATGCTGACCACTTCCCAACACCCTTCTTATCACAGCATACTTGAGAAAGTTTTTTGTGTTAACTGCTATGTCCTTCTAAAGATTGCTGTAAGAGGCTAATTAAGATTGAACTGCTATGTCCTTCTAAAGATTCCTATAAGAGGCTGATTAAGATTCTCAGTTGGAGTGGATTTCCACTCAGAATAAGGATTATACTCACTGAGAATTAAGAAGCAGGATTGGATACCTTGAATTCTGTCTGCTCTATTAATCATGACAAGAACAACAAATGAACCTTTTCATATTAGCTCAAGATTAATATTTTCACATATTTTGAAGAGCTTGATTCTATATTTGATGACTGAAAAGGATAAGTAGAAACAATAGGATAGACAACTCTAACACACTAGTTGTAAGCATGGATAAGTTGAGCAAGTTCTTTATGAAATTCAGAATGCTTATGTTAGCTTGAGTCACTGAGTGTTCAAGTGGAATAAATACGAGAAATTGTGTTAATTTTCTGTAGCTATTGTAAAAAATCACACAAATAAGGAGTTTTATAGCAATTTAAACTTACTCTCTCTCAACTCTTGCCTCAGTCAAGATGTAAGCAGGGCTGTGCTTCCTCCAGAGGCTATAGAGAGGACCTCTACTTTGTCTCCTTTTCTAGTAATGTCTCTATTATTTTCTTATTCTCTGCTACTGCTTTGAATTACTTTGCCAATAGAAAAGAACTACCCATTGCTGGAAAAGGAATCTGAGATACCCAAGTAGGGAAGACTCTCTGGTAAAGCATTTATCTGCTAGGGTCAAAACAGAGTGGCTTGCAGCCATCCAGAACATAGGCACACAATGGACAATAGGCAGTAATAACAACCCCCATTTTATCCCAAAGTATGATTTCCCAGGAAGGCTCTGGCATATTTAAAAAAGCACTGAGATTTAAGCAAAATGTGTGCTTTTCCCAGAAAAAGTAAGGATCATTAACCTCACTCAGAAACACTGAAGTGGGAGAAAGAAATAAGAGTATGAAAGTAAGTGGAAAATAAAATCTAGCCCATACTGTACTAAACTGGAGAAATGATTGGATCAGATGATAAGAGTCTGTGACTTTCTGTGATAAGTTCAAATTTTCCTAACCAGGACAGGACACAAACTGTTTGGCATAGAAACTTCGCTGCCTCTAGAAAGGACTGCACACTATAGCAGAATGGCTTGGGGTTGTGTTCCATTTCCACTTTCCATTACACCTTCCTGTCACTGTGCACCCTGCGAGCCAGCAGTCATTATGTCTAGTACTTAAGATTCTGCAACTCATGTAGGAGATTCAAATTGATGTTGGTGCTTCTAGCTTTGACCCAACCTTGGCCTTTGTAGAGTTAACAACATAATGTGATCTCTCTCTCTCTCTCTCTCCTCTTTTCACACAGAAAAACACATAAGTATATGCATTCACTCTTGCTCTTTCTCTTTCTGTCAAATAAATAAGTGTGCATATATTTTCCAAAGAATTCTGGATGTTTTCATTAATACTGAAGTGTGAACAGTAGGGTGCAGAGAGCAATATGCTGTGTGTCATCTTAACTTGATTCTAGGAAGGAATTTGTTAAGGGGAATACTGCAGGAAATAGACTCACAAAGTTAGAAAGAATTCAGAGAATGCACAAAGTCAGAGCTGATGTATACAGAGAAATCTTCAGGGGATGTTCTTGAAACTTAATAAACTACACCAATTAGAGTAACAAACATGTCTCATCAGGGAATGCTATCAGCTTATAGGTACATGAAATGTGGGTTATGGTAGATAATGCCAGAATGAAGAATACAGTCCACCTACAGATCAGACAGAAAGTGCTACATGTACACATTTTCATTCACCCAGAAGAAAAGCCTGAATGGAAATGATGAATTGGACAGATCATAGAGCCTAAAAGAGAAGCCTAGAAAGCACAGATGACCTAATGTTGTGATTGGTGCAGCCAGCTGATAGCTAGCATCTGCTTGTTGGGTTAATGTATAGTGTGGACCACATGGAAGCAGTTTCCCTGCCCTGAGCTCCCTACCTTGTCTCCTGACAGAGTTAATTAACAGTGCGGAAACGGCTCTGGAGACTCCATGCACCTGGTCCCTCCTGCTTCTTACTATGCTACTTACATTAATAAAACTACAGGGAAACTTTGGGCTCCTGGCAGCTCCCTTCCTGCCTCTGAACACTTAGTTAATTGAATGCATGGAAACTTTGTTTGTCCTGTATTATTCTCAATCTGATTGGAGAACTAGAGTTTAAAAATACATGACTTTGGCAGCTCAGTGCAGTGGTTCCTGGAGTGTAGGGGAGCTGTTGTCACCAAGCTTGGTGAATAAAGATTCCTCCTAAGCTCCTACACTTGTGTCTAATGCGATCTCTCTCACAATTCTACTACAATGTAACACCCAGCATAGGCAGTACACATCAGGAGCAGCCAGGGCAAGAAAAATATTCCACTTACAGAAGGAATCATCAGGAGATAGATACAGAGAGAGAGAGAAAGAGCACCATTCAGCCTAATATGATCTGGTAAGAAGCTCATGAATGTAGAACATTTCTAACTTACAAGAGAACTCTAAAATAGATACACAGATAGAGAGGATGCCTAGACTAGACAGCTGTATGTCAGGAGAGGCATGTATAGATAGGACATCCAACCTAGGGGAGATTATTTCAAGTGCGCTGATGCAGCCGGGTCAGGAGAAGTCCTAGCAGCAATTCCAGGGACAGCCCATCTAAAGGAGCACACATTCAGAGACAAAGGTTGCAGGCAGCAAATGTGAAGGTATGATAGAAAGTTAAACAGATCATATCACCTCAGGAAGCACTTGAGAAAAGGTAAACTAAGAGTACACAGCCAGATGATGGTAGGAATCAGCAGTAAACATATCAAAGCATAGCACACACACACGCATATATATTTATCAACAGGATTTGAAAAAAGGTACTTTTTAAAAATTATTTCATATTGATAACCTTTACATAGTTGATTAGGGCACAAAGGGTGAGGGGCTACAAGAAAGTGGGTAAGATCATTGTTTCCACATTAATATTATTTTTTTTTTCCTGTATCTGGGGTAAGGAGGGAGATAACGGGAGAAGCCCCACCCAACCTCCCACCCATCCCAGGTCCCCAATGTGAGGTATGCTCCAAGGTTCCTGGTCAAGCAGTTTTGATAGTTCAACAGTTCTGAATTGCTACCAATCTCGCTGTTCCAAGCACGATGAAATCTATTCAGAATCCACCGACTGACATAGTCTCATGGTTGGGGTTCTGTGATCAGCAGTTCAGTTGGAAGGATCCCCAAAGAAACTTCATCTGGGGTGATCCCCAGACCTGATTCTTGTATGTGTTTGCCAATACAGGGTCGGCACAGTCTGTTGCCACAATCAGCTTATGCATATACTGGTGGTTGCAATTGCTGGGTCAGTTCTGCTTCCAGCCCTGTCTTCCACACGAACAAATGGATGTTGCATGATCTGGGAGTGGGAGCATCCCAGTAGGG